TTATAACATAGCATAATTATTTGTTTTGATCTTTCTTATGCTTCTAGAAGAACAAATAAATTGTTTTTCACCAGAAATCCTGAGATACACTTCAGAGTCCAATAGAAAGAATGCATTTATCCATCTTAGGCATTACTGGGGACCTCTCTCCGTAAGTGTTGATCAACAAGAGTTTTCTATCGTAACCAGGACAGCAGAGTGCTGAAGAGGATTGTAAGTAATCTGTCAGCTTTAGAATTACTCTGGCCACCGTGATATGATTCAGAATCATCCAAAGAATATTCTGGATAATGTCTGGTAGACTCCTCTGGAGACTTCTCCCCTCATGAGTCCTCAAAAATACCCTCCCTCAAGTTCATTTACTCACTAATTTGAACTGCACCTCAGCACAGCTCAAAAGGGAAAGGAAACTCTAGAAATACATGGCACTTTGGGCGCTGCTCCTCTCAGCTTATATGAGCGGGAGGGGGAACAGAGACCAGTGTCTCCTGTCCCAGTCCCAGGGTCCACAATGCCCCCATTTGTGAGCATCTCCAAACACTGATGTCCTTGTCTTGCCTCCCTGCCGGACTGTAAAGAGCAGGGATGGATTTCGACATTTTTCTAATGTGCATGGCTCCTTCCACATAGTAGGGTGCTCAATTAATAGCTTCAGGATTAGTTAACATTGCATCACCTGGGCAATAGAGATGCAGATGGAACCATGAACATTCTCCCCAAAAAGGTTATAACATTGCCATAATATAACCAAGGGCTTGTCTGTGTCTTCTGAGGTACATAAGAATCAATCAATGTCACCCACTGAGTTAGCCAAATGTCCTCCCATTCTCTCTCTCTCAACACCCATACCACCGTCAGTACATACGCCACTCACTCGCATCACATTTAGGGGCATTTCTATCAGGTATGCCTATGGCTGCCTGATTTCTTTTTCAAAATAATTTCTACCCCTAACGAGGCTATAAAACCCTTGGAGGCAAAGCCATGCTTGTTTCTGTTTCTATTTCTCCTTCAGTATCTGGCACAGTGCTAGGTACATGCCAAGTATTCCACGTATTGTCTAGTTGACTGCTAATTGCTGCACCTTTTTCCTGTGGTAAATTTAAACCAAACCAAATAAAATCAAGCCAGACAAAACAGAAACTTACCATGGCCTTATTTCTTCTGCTGGTTGATGCTCCAACTCTTTGACCTCTTTTGCAGTGAAACCCTTCAAAGGAGTTTTCTGTATTATTAGCAGCTCCTCTCCTCTCCTTTTCTCCTTGCTCCAATCCAGCTGAGCTCTTGCCTCTGTACTCCTCCAAACTTGCTCATGTCCACGCCACCAACGACCTCCATATTGCTCAAAAGGATGACACCATCTTAGTCCTCATCTTTCTGTGGCACCGTGTCTCGCTGACCCTAATTCCCTTCTTTACCCTGTTCCAAGAATCCCACAAACTCCTGCTTCATGGGCTGGCTCTACCTCAGCCTCCTCTACTGATTCTCCTCTTTCTCTTAATGCTGGAGAGCGCCAGGATCCTGTTCTCTTCTCCATCTTCACTCAGTCAGTTTCACAGCATTAAAATAGCCTGAGTATGCAGAAAATCCCCAAATTTATATTGGAAGCACAGATGTCTCTCCAGAGCTCTGGACTTAGGTCTCCAATTGCATGCCCAACGTCTTGACTTGGCTATCTACCGTAGACATCTTAGACTCAACACACTTAAAACCGAACTCTAGATTGTCCCTGGGACATTTCTTCTCAGCCAGTCCCACCCTCTCACAAACGAGCTCCTTGGCTCCATCTCCAAACTGTATTTGGAAACTGAGGACCTCCTACCTCCACCTTTGCTGCCTACCACCTCACTCCTCTTTCATTTCTCTCTTCCTCCTGCCCATTGCCCTTGCCCTCTAACCTTAATACAGCACCAGAGCAATCGTTTTAAAAGTTAGATCACGTGATTCCTTAGGTTAAAATTCTCCAGTGGCTCCCATTTTTCTCAAAAGCAGAGCTGACAATCTAATAATGGCCTGTTATATGCTATAGGGCCCCTCTGGCTTTGTCCATGACTCTCTCTTGGGCACCCAAACACAATCTAGTTTAGTCACCCCACTTCCTTAGTATCCCTTGGACAACCCAGATGCTCCCTGCCTTGAGTTCATCACACCCAGTAGCTTCCTGTGCCTGGAAGTGTCGGCTCTGGATCCTTCCTCCCCTGAGTGCTTCACTTCCGGTGTCCCCTGCTTAAAGAAGTTCAACAAGCTGAGAGCACCTTGCTCTGTCCTCCATTTCTCCTTCACAGCTCTATTCTTGATTCCTACAGCATCCATCGCCTTATAACCTGTGAGAATGTGCTTGCTTATTTATTGTCCATCTCCTCCACTAGACAGGAGAGATCTGTGTCAGTTTGGTCCACTGAGGTCCGGTGAGCTCATGGCACACAGTCGGTCCAATAACTATTTGTTGAATGAATTAAAAAGTTCACTAGGCAATCACTTGGAACCCAGAAGACTGAGTGAGGTCCCGGGGTGGTCCCATAGACCAAGAATCCCAGTGGGCTCAGGGTCCTTGTGCAGGAGGGGAGGAGGATTAATCATTTATCCACATGCCCCACTCCTGGTGGTGGTGTAAACAGAGATTTAACCTGAACATCCTTCAAAGCATGGAGCCCAGGAGAAACAAGTTGACAAAATGCAGGAGGATGGGAGAGGCTGAGGACAAGACTTTGATGTGCAGGATCCTGGTTTATTGGAGAGCATGTTGGGGTCCTCCGCTTGTCCTGGGACTGGCCCCCTTTGTCCTTCCTCTTCCATCCAGGCTTCATAGCAACACCCTGCAATCAATCCTCTTCCCTGGGGGACAAAATACCACCCCGAGGACACTGAGATCAGTGGCGGCGTTTGAAACTCAGATCCTCAGCGTTCACATCCTCCCGCAGCACTTTCTCTGCTGAGTTGGGACTCCAGGAGCTATAGACTTTTCCCCTCTAAATTGAAAGTGCTTTTTTTGTAAGTCACAGTGGTGGGTTTCAGAACTGCAAACCAGAGAGGCGTTTTGATTCCACAAACAGCCCCCAGAGGAAACCATTTCAAGCCTGACATTTTTCTTCTTTAGCCAAGGGACCCACCGCATCATCTCAAAACTCTCCTTCCCCGAGGCTTCCCCATCCCTTCCACACACACACAGAAAGAAAACACAAAATATCTGCCTCCCATTGAATTAACTTAAATGGGAAATAAAATCAGTTCCTTCCAACTATTTTTCACTCTGTCAGAATGAGGGAGAAATGTATTTAAAGATGAGTTCTAATGACCTCACCTGCTTAGTGCTGGAAACACCAGAGGATCTTATTAACTGAAAACTCACCTTTGTGCTCATGTCTGTGGAGACAGGGAGACCACTTTCATTGTGTTTGTGTTTGGATGGGGCCGCCAGCATCCTGGTGGCCCGTGGTGAGAGGCATCTTGAAGTACCTCACACCAACATCACAGGGCCCTGGGCTGCTTATCTGGGTCAGCAGAAAGCCTGCTCCCACAGGCAGCTGAGCACTTCCGGGTAAATTGAGTATTTGCTAAGAACTGCATATTTGTTTCTGTGCTTTTGTGAAGCCTCCACATTGGCGAACAGCTCTCTTTCCCTTCCCTAGAAAGACAGAGGAATCTGACTGGACAAAGAGTCAGGATCTCTCACACCTGGGGTCTGAGGAGCCTCATCCCTCCCAGGCCTGGCTTTTCTCCATCTCACCTGGTGGAAACTAGGAGTGTTCCAGAACATTCTTCACCTTCGGAGAGCACAAAATCCAGGGATGACAGAGCCAGGAGGAATACTAGAAGTGGTCGTATGTCTGTTTTGTGTGGTTATAACAGGGTGATTTATAATGGCTAGAGATTTATTTTTTGTAGTTCTGGAGCTTGGTAAGTCCAAGAACATGGTGCAACATCTGGTAAGGACCATCTGCTGCGTGGAACAGTGCATCCCAAGGACAAGAGGCAGGAGTGGGCAAGCTCAGGTCTCTTCCTCTTCATATAGAGGCTCTAACCCCATGCTGGGGTGCCAGCTTCATGACTCATCTCACCCTAATTACTTCTACGAAGCCCCACCTCCAAATACCATCAACATCTGAATTTGGAGATGAAGTTTCCAGCACGTGAATTTTTGGGGGGACACATTCAAAGCAGACCAGTAGTCAATAATCTGTACCCTTCTTTACTTTCATTTTATTCGTAAAGAAGCTAGGGTACAAAAAGAGAAGGCTAGATAGGAAACAGGGCATAGACCTGGGCCTACCTGCAGCGGCACAAGGCTTCAGGACTTCCAATAAAAAGACTCATGGGTGGCAACATTGCTATCTTTGTATAACGAGCATATTAGTTTCTGTTTGTTTGTTTACCCAAATGTGTGCTTGTTTGGAAGGCCTTGCTACAGTCTGATAGTGTTTGCAGATACTCTTTCCTCAGCTCTCTTTGGCCCAATACAGTGCAGAAATTTTGGTTCTTAATGTTGGGCCATATCTATCACTCCTGGTAGCTTTCCAGTAATGTTGGAGCAGGAGACAAACGTCAGAATATCCCTCCACATTCCCTAGAGCTGCAGTCATGGACTGTACACTGGAATAGGCTTGGTGGTGCTTTTCTCTTAGAAAGCATAAGGGTATCTTGTGCCCTTCAAGTTGCTAGGCTTCAAGGAAATAAAGGTCATTTATGTCAGTCTTGCTCAGAAATTTCAAAACCCTTGGCTAGGCCCAGATTTTTACCAGCGTGGCACATCTGCCTTTCTCTGCTGACTGACCATCCCTGGCATTTTCTGTACGTGTGGCTCTTGTATCCTCCTGCAGTCAGGGAGCCTGTGGGCTGCTCTATATGGAGCTGTGGCCCACAGAACTCGCCTCCTGGGCACAGCCCCACGTGGGCCTGGCAGCCTTGCACAAACCCCCACTGCCTGATCCTACAAGATAAGCCAGGCCAGAAAATTAGGGCTACTAGTCCCTTCTCGTGTGAAAACAACTGCAAGTTCTTACCTGACTGGTGAGAAGTCGGGAATCTTGACCACCAAATCAAAGGTATTCGTTACCATGGTTTATCTCAGCTAACATGCCCTTCCTGTTCCTTTGCCCAAGGGAATGCTATATATTCGGAAACGGTCTGTATTTCTTCAAAGATGTTTCATGGGGCACAAGTCCTATGAAATGTTTTTTCAAAAAAAGAGAAAAGAAAGAGCCTAAATCAATTACATTGCACAGTATATCCTTCTCATTCTACATTACCCAGAGCAGTTAATCTTAACCCTGAAGGAGCAGCAAAACCATCTGTTAATTTATTTCAAAATACAAATTTCTGTACCCACCAGAATCAAGATCTTTTAGTGCTTATAAAACTGTAGGATCAGGATAAGAACACATTCTTCGTCACCCTCTCAATGAGTATTTTGTTCTTCTCAGTTACCTCAGCACGTCATTGGCACATGCTCTGCTCCCTGTCCTATCCTCTGGAGACATTGTGTCAGTCAGGTTTCCATTTGAGTGACAAAATACAAGAAATAATCAACTCAAAAAGAATAAAGGTCAATTTTGGCTCACTGTTTGGGAGTTTCCGTCCATGGCTGGTTGGCCCCACTGCTTTGGGGTCTGTAGCGAAGCAGAGCATCCTGGAGGTGAGTGTGTGGTGGAACAAAGCTGCTCACCTCATGGCCCCCAGGAAGGAAAGAAAGGAAGAATAGTGTCTGGGGTCCCAATATCCCCTTTAATTGCATGACTCCAATGACCTAACTTTCTTCCACAAGCCCTCAATCTCTCATAAGCTGGGCCACTTCCCAAGACCACCCACAGGAGTGGATCAAGGTCTTGGGGCCTTTGGGGGACATTTAAGATCCGAACTGTGGCTAGCAGACCCCATCTGCAGGCTCTGTAGTCTTAAAATGAAGGTATCAGCAGTGGAGAGAAGAAAGGGGACATGACTCTTGACCTCAGGCTGATTCTTAAACAGTATTTATACCATGATACTCATGTTGCTTTGTTCTCTGCAGAGCTAGGACAGTGTATTCTGCTACACATGCAGGGGTGAGCAGGGGATTGAGTTGGAACATGGAAGTTGTATTGGGTCAGAGAAAATGTTTTTCTAGCACATGAATGTTTGAAGTAATTATGTACACATTTTCTTACAATAAAGGAGGAACCCTGGGCATTATATAAAGATCATTAAAAAACAAAAAATCTGGAGCAGTGCCTTTCATTTATTCAAGAAGTTGGTTTAGTGGCTTCTATATTAAGCAATGAAAGAAAGCTGCAAATGCACATGTATTAACTCCTATGAAGACATTGCCCCTCATGGCAATAATTAGGATTAATATATTAAATATTTCAAAACTTTAAATACTAGATTTTAAAAATATCCTACTCATGCACAAAAGAATAAGTATGTGAGGTGGTTGATATGTTGGTTAGTCTGAATTAATCATTCCACAATGTAAATACATATATATCATATTATACCCCATAAATATACAGTTATTATTTGTCAATTTTTTAAAACTTGACATTGCTACTGTATATATATATATATGTATGTATATATATATATATGTTCTACTACATATAAATACCTTATTTTTCAAAACTTGACATTGTTACTGCTTTAATATATATAGATGCTCCACTACATATAAATACCTTAAAGGACCAACACATCCAAGGAAGAAGCAGAACCCCAGGATGTAAGAAAAAACTATAATTCAAGCAAAAAGTTAACTCTATCAGTAATTTTCTTAAGGTAGTAACTATTTTTCTTAGGGCTTTAGTCACCAAGTCCCACAGCCTTTAAGTCACCTGCTGAACCTAATTCTTCCTGTAAGCCCTATGATTATTACACAATTTTATAAAGCATGACATATTTCAAGGATGCATGTATGATCTTATGGCAAAAATGCCTGACTGTGTTGGGTTTCTGTTTCCTTCTCAGAAGCCCTGATATGAATCACTGTGATATTCAAAAGAAAATGTCCCTAGAGGTAGCTTGAACGAATTATTCCTTACATATTTCACTGTCATCATTTCCTCAGAATTTTTCTAGACTATTAATTTCCCTTACTTATAGAAAATCTTCAGTTTCTACATGTTGCTCCACCCAAGATTGCTTACTTTCTGGCCCTGTTCATAGCTTGTCCTCAAGCATAATCCATTTTTTTCTTGGATCCCACATTTTCCTCTGTTTTGATGTAACTACTTTCTTTTATTGGCATAAATCTTGTATTTTTATGCTACAAAAGAGCACAATTACATATTTTTTAACCCTTGCATATCTAAAATGGCTCTACTACTAGCCCTGAACTGAAAGTTTGGCTGCGTATAAAAATCTGAGTTCAAAATAGCCTCTCAACTAAGGCATTGATCCATTATCTTCCAACATCTAGTTGGAAGTGTTATGCCAATATGAATTTTACTTCTGCTTTTCTTTCTGTAAAGTTTTGAGAACTTTTACATTCTTGGTGTTCTAAATTTCACATGCTATGTCTAGTTGAGACTCATTTTATTCATATGCACAGCACTTGGTGTCTTTTTCCATTTGAAAGATCTAGAAAATTCTTTTATTAATTTTTGATAAGTTCTTTTTTACTATTGTGTACTTCAATAACTCCTATTCATCATTTGATGAGTCTCTTGAATTAAAACTCAATATTGCTTATATTTTCTTATATTTCTTCCACTAAAAATGGCTTTTCTTAAATATTTCTTCAGTTTTGTCTATTGTGTCTTCTATATAGGTTTAATTTTAGCAATCATAATTTATATCCCAACATCTTTTTCTTATTATCTGTTCATATATATTTTATTTTTTTCATTTTTCAGAGGCAACACTTTCTCTGTTTTCTGTGAATATATTTATACATTTTAAATTTTCACTTTTGTCCCCTGAAATACTGTTCCTGCAAGTAAGAAACAAGGCTCTCTCTGCTCCTTGAGCTTCTTGGGAACACTTATAGGCTGATGTCTCCTTTATAGCTCATCCTCTAGTCAGCAGCTTCCTATATTCAGCTCTTTGTTTGCACTCCTACATTTCTCTTTCAAACTATTGCCAAAAACTCTTGTCTGTCTCCTTTCATTGCCTTTATTTATGTAGGTTTACACCTTCCGCATATTTTAATGATAGCTCATGGAGAATATGCATCTATGGACATTTCAGCATCATCTGAAACACTGTGAGAACCAGCAAAGCATTCCATCTATGAACTTGACTGCCTGTCTTATGTTGCTGAATATATTTTGATAGCTAAGATTCCAGAGCTTTTCTGACTGGTTGCTCTTAGGACCAGTAACACAAGTGTCTAGGACTTCAGGGAAGTAAGGCCTTCATGTAAAAGTCTTCTACCGAGTAACCTTGGACAAATAGCCTCATACCTTCAGAGACATTGTGTCCCCCCCCCTTTTCCAACCCCCCAGGCTCAGTTTGAATTAATGAGGAAATAGTGCTCAAGCAAATCAAACTGCTTCATGATTAGCATTCCAAGATATGAGAACTATTTATCAGGTAACCTAAACTGGATGGTGTCAAATGACAGAAATCTGCCTGGCTAGCCAGGTAGAGAAATAAATTATTGCCTTGCACCTTTTTCTTGCCATTAGGCATAAAGCTGCTACTTGGTTTTAATGGTTTATAGGACGTGGCTGGCTACAGCAGGCAGAGCTGTGCTGATTAGTAGATTGGATCACCTTCCCTAACACCATCTGAAACCACCGCTCTGCTTGTCCACATTAACCTTGTCTCGTACTTTTCCCCAGTTGCATAAACTTACCTCCCGCCCTGAGCTTATGAGCTCTGTCTCTAATAGATTAAAAACTGCCTTGTGTTTTATGCTGAAAAGACTGGAAAGACCTTGCCTTGGATGTGAGCTGCATATTCACCCTTGGGGATCTACACTTGTCCCCATGTTGTTTTGAAATAACATGTAGCTCTAACGTAAATTACCACTTCCAGGTAGCTGCAATTACCATTTTTCAGTTTTTAGTAACTAGTCACTTTAGATAAAGATATCAAGTTGAGTGTGACCTAGACCTAGTTTGAGCTTCCTCAATATGATTGGACACTCCATACAGGCAGTATTTAGTATTTTCTTTAAGAAACAAAAATTAAATAAACAACAAAAACAACAAAAAACCCTCAAACCTTCCCTCATTGTCCTGCACCAGATCAGAACTGCACATGCAACAGCTGGCCAAGAAGTGCTCAGCTCTTTTGGGTGGTGCTGGATTCTCTAATGCCTTTATAGATCTTAGCTTTTTATATATGAAATCAGGATGTTAAGGCATGAACCTTTCACCATGGAAACTATACCGCACATGACAAATTATACAGAATACAGCATGTAGCAGCAGGCAGGGAGCTGGTTTGCTTGGTGGAGCAATGTTGGGAGGAAGCTGAAGAACCCAACCAGCCAACGTCACCCCACCACCTCCTTCCACATGTGGTCCTCAAGGAGTCCTGAGAGCAGTTCAACAACCTCTGGATGAAACCATTTCCATTTCACTTTTATCCCTAATACTGGTCCGAGGGAAAAAAGGTCTAGGATCTGCTTAGTATAGCCAAATTCCCGGGTTTTCCTGGAACTGAGGAGTTTCCTGGAACTGAACTGAATGTGGGGTTTTCTCTGCTGATGTGGCAATAGTCCTGTGTGAGCTGGGGCAGTTGGTCACTGATTCAGCTGGCTTGGGAGAGAGTCCCCGAAAGGTCAGAGTGATCACGGTGAGCCCAGTGACTCCAACTGTTGGTGTTTATTCTGCTGTGTACACTTCTTCCTGTAAATGTGCGTGGGACCTACAGCGTCCTTCTAACCCATCACGATCCATTGTGGAAGACTCCATGGTAGATACCAAAGCTGGAGCTCTTCCTAGAAGGCCTGAAGTAAGCAGTAATGTGGAGAAGCCCACATGGCAAAGGGCTTGAGTGGTCTCCAGCTTCCAACCCACAAAAAGGATCATACAGGGTCATACAGCTTCCAGGAAATGAATAACAACTGATTGGACCTGGAAACGCATTCTTCCCCCATGGAGCCTCCATATGAGAACACAGCCTGTCTGACCACTTATGCAATGGTTTGAACCCCCCAACAAAACCTATGTTGAAACATAATCCCCATGGTGAAGTATCAAGAGGGTAGAAACTTAATCTGACTATGGTAATTAGCTGATTAAGACTAAATGAGGCCATAAGGTGGGGCCCTGGCCCTATAGCCTTGTGGCTTAATAAGAAAAGAGATTTGAGCTCTGATATTCAGTCTCAGTATGTGATGTCCTATGTCACACTGCAACCCTGTAGAGTGCCCACAAGCAAGAAAGACATCACTGGGTGTGGTTGCCTGATCTTGAACTATTCAGCCTTCTAAACTATAAGAAACACACACACAGGTGCACACACACACACCCCTCTATTTTTTTTATAAATTAGTCACAGCAATAGAAAATGAACTAAGATAACTTATGGGCAGCTTTTGAGACCTTGACCATTGAACCAGTCCAGTTGTGCCCGGTCCTGTGACCCATGTGAACAGATAATAAATGCACATTGTTTTAAACAGCTAAGTGTGTGGCAATTTGTTATGCAACAATAGAAAACAAGTGCAATGTGTTTTGAAACATTTTGGTAGGCCAGGAGTGTTAGCTCATGCTGGAAAGGGTTAGCATACCTGAGGAGCGGTTGTGGCCTGTCCCACGCAACCCTACAAAGATAGTGCCCTGGCCAGTGACCTTAAGAGCAACCCCTGCCTCTGATTCCCTCTAAGCTGAGCCATCTCCTCCATTAGCCCCACTCGGTGCTCCAAAGAGAAATCACACAGCATCTATGACTGCCTTGTTCTCAAAATAAGAGATCCAAGGTTTTTAAAAGAGGTCACTTCAGACTAAAATCTCTCTCCTCCTAGGCAGGGATCAGGTTTCACTCTACTATTACGTTCACTTTCAGTAAATTGTAAAGTCAGGATTTAAAAATTACTCCCTCTAGAATGATCCTCTTCCTTCTTTTCTGTTCCCTTTTCTTCCTCCTCCTCCGCTCTGTGCCTTTTCTCTTCCCCTTCATTGGCACCGATTTCTCTCCTTCAGGTAAGATGGTAAAAGGATTAGAACCAGCAGCGGTGTGCAGAATTGGTCTCATGGAACTGAAGACCCTGCTACTAGAAATGTAGGTAAGTGGTAAAATACGATAATAGGCAGTGTTTCCACACCGGCCAGCCTGAGGTCCTTTCTTTGACTGGCCTGACCCCC